GCAGGACTATACTTCCTGTCTCCGGAACTTTTCTGGAATTTTTTCCTCCCCTCCTTTGCTGGTACTTTGCTTGTGTGGAGTGACCATTGAAAAAAGTGACTTATGACCATTTTTCACACTTATGACTGTTGCAGCATCCCACAGTCATGAGAGGCTAAGCGAGAAGATGCGTGCCTCGATGTGAGTGATATTGAGTTGGCCACGCCCAGCCAATAACATGACCACCAAGCCACGTCTACCCAGTCACATGACCACCAAGCCACACCCACCACCTAAGCCACGCCCACAGAACCAGTTGTTAAAAAATTTGAATCCCACTCCTGCAGAGGGCCATAAAATGGCCAGGTCTGATTTAAGTGGAAGGCAAAGGGGCACCTTGTCAATGCAGGACCCACCCCAGAGTTATAGGGTATCCTTGAAAGACAGCACCCCGAAGACCCCTGCAGAAGTGTTTTGCCTCCCCTAGCGATACATTTCAGCCACAACAGTGCCCCCCTGCCCCACACAAACCATGCAGTCGTAAACAACAGCTGCTGCATCCAGATTCGCTGCAACTGTATTCGCAAGGCATGGCATTTTGCTGCCTTGGCTGGAAGAAGGCGCCATTTAAAAAAAAAAAAAAACATTTGCAATGCTCCACCATGCTGAAGGCTGTAAATCTCCCCATTTTCATGCCTCTTTATGGGTTGCAAAGGAGTGGCAGGCGGGGGAAAAGGCCTATTGAGCCCCCCGCTGCTAGGTATATTGAATTAACCATTCTTAGCAGCTCTAATTATTTCCAGGAGGGGCTCTTTCCAAAGGCAACCGAGGAGAGGCTGCAGCATATTAAACAAAAAACACCAACTTTCCACACGATTTCCCCTCAGTCCCGTGCACAAACATCTTGCTTGCTGAGAGATTCGGCATTTAACAAGCAGGTCTTGTCCAGGCTTCTGAGAGCCAATTTTTCATGGAACCCCAAGGGTTTTTTTGTTGTTGTTGTTTTTAACAGAGATCCCTGGAAGCCAGGAGGTGCCTCAAAACCCTGGTTTGCCGGAGATCTACTCATTAGCCGGGTCAAGATCGGAAGTCTACCTTCAGCTGTCTTTGACGGAAATAAATGACAAGCCCCTTCCAATCACAAGAAGGTCCTCTCCTCCTCTTCTCGACGCTTTGCTAAAGTCAGTTTTGCAGCAAAGCTACAGGCTGGGCCTTTATACCCACAAATTTCCTGCCACTTGTGGTTGAACAGAAAATAACAGAGTTGGAAGGGACCTTGGAGGTCTTCTAGTCCAACCCCTTGTTCAAGCAGGAGACCCAACACCATTCCAGATAAATGCTTGTCCAAGTTCTTCTTAAAAGCCTCCATGATGGAGCACCTTCAACTTCCGAAGGCAAGCCTTTCCACCGGTTAATTGTTCTCAAAGTTAGGGAACTTCTCCTTAGTTCTAGGTTGCTTCTCCCCTTATTTATTTTCCACCCAATGTTTCCCTCTGCCCTGCTTGTCAAAGCAAACAAGGGAATCTCTTTTAGCTGAAGAGTGAGGGCTATTTGGAAACTGAAACTATTTCCTGTGACAAGGAGCCTGGGCACGGTTTAGCTCAATTGTTCTGTACTAAAGCTGCTTGGTGCTGTGAAACTAAAACTGAAATTTGAAATTCCTCTCCTCTGCTTGTGTTTTGCATTTGGAACAGATTTCTTTTCAGGTGGGGAGGGGAGTAGAACTCCTTAGCATCAGAGCATGTTAATAGTAATATATGAAATACTAATGCTCTGATGGTCATTTCAAAAAATCCTTTCTTAGTGAGCACCTAGAAGCCGAGAGGAACATATGTGCTAAATTTCAAGTTTGTAGGCTTTATGGTTCTGGAGATTTTGTGATGATGCATGAGTGGTATTTCACTTTTATATATATAGATAACCTTACCTATTGCAAACCTTCTTTTTTAAAAAAAATCCCTTGCAAGCCACCTAATTGCCGTTGCTCACAATCCTATCCTATTGAACAAAGGTGCAAAAGCCGAGTCCCAATGTCACAAGAAATTCTATTGTAGTCTCATAGGAACCTCCGGAGGTTACTCCTCAATTGTACTTTGTAAATGTTAAATGGGGAGTTAACCTACTAGCTGTATGTAATTACTTAGTAGATACGAAACGTTTCTCTTCCAATGTTTTCCCCAAATTCCAAGGAATGTGGGGCTGTTTTGCCCACTTACACTGTGACCCTCCAGGAGTGAAAACAGTGGCATCCGCTACTAAACAGTTATAATTATGGTGGCTCATGTGCTCTGCCATTAACTGAGATTCTCACGCCGTGCCTCCTGTGCGCTCCCAAGCACGCCGACATTTCCTCTTCAATAAGCGACAATATCTTATCCACAATCATGTGGAAGATGCCAACTCATCCCTCTAATCCAGCTTTTTTGTACCTTAGCAACTTTTAAGGAATGTAAAAGTATCTTAACCCCAAGAAATTCAATTATCTTCAAGTTGCTAAGGTTGAAAAGCACTGTTCTGATCAATTAATTGGGAGTTTTAAAAAATGTAATTCCAAATGTTAAGTGAATCACTGCAGTTGTTACGTCAGCAACACAAGTGCTAAGTGAATCAGTCTTCCTCATTGGCCTTGGTTGACAGGTTGCAAAAGGGGATTGTGATGACCTGGGGCGTGGCACAAAGGCAACACAGCCAGAGAAAAAGGTACGAGTCCCTTTATTTGCTCCAACTTTGCCTCCAACATCCCGGTTACTCTCCGGCCTGAAGAAAAACTCTCCCATGAACCTACAACAGCCTCTGGCTGCAGATGCTCCAATCCAAATGCTGTAAGCAGAATGAATGAGATCAATCACTCCAGCAGGGCAAAATAAGGAGTCCAATAATTCCAGCAAGGCAGATAGGCACACAGCAGCAGGGCAATAATTCAAAGACAGAAGGAATGCCAGGAACGTAGGCTAACAGTCATAACACTAGATGAATTCAGCGTTTGTTCCTGGCAAACGGTCTTCCCAACAGCCTCTCCTTTAAACTCCATTCCCAGGTGTGCCTTGTGAAGGGAATCTAAGCTCTTTCCTTCTTCGTACGCCACGCAACCCATATTGCTCTCCTGTGTTCTTCCCTGCACGCCCTAGGATGAGGGGATGGGCCTTGGTCTTCCTCTGAACCTCCTCTCCCTTGTTCTACCTCTCCCCTGCTCTGCCCAGCCTGACTTTGCCCTTCCCCAGTTTCCTCCACAGCCAATGGGACGGAGACATGACAGGGTTCACGTGAAGTACGAGACACTGCAATGGTCATAAACATGAATCAGTTGCCCGCTGTCTGAATTTTGGTCACGTGACCACAAAGGCCGTGTGAAAAACGACCAGAAGTCACTTTTTCCAATGCTGTTGCAACTTCAAATGGTCACTAAACGAACGGTCGTTGAGCACGGCCTCTATGCTGTTTTGTTCTTATTAAAAACATTTTCACCAGAAAGGAATGGTTGGCCAGCGCAGGCGAGCTTTGCATACATGACCCAATTTTTCCATTATGTCCACATCTTGACTGCACGGTATCTTGAGATCTCCCTTTCTCCCAGGAGTGGCACAAATTCTTAATTGAGTTTGTAAAATGCCGAGCTCCTGAGAGATACTCTGAAAGAACGCATTAGCATCAAGCTACACGGAGAACACTCTGGGGGGGGGGCTTCAGCCCCATCCTTTAAAACTACAGTTAAGGCTGAAAAGAGGCAGTTTGATTCCAGAATCGGAGGTCTTAAATCATTCATAAACTTGAGGAAGAAAACCCCTGGGGTTAGCCCTCTACTCATACGGTCTCCAAGGGAGAGTAATTTATTTTCTTTGAAAGAGCCAGCGCCAGAGCTCTTCTGTAAAGATGGGACATGAAAACAGATACTGAAAGCTGATATTTTTCTTTGGAAGGCCCACTGAGGAAAAATGGAACTGTTATTTTTTTTTTTTAATTCCAAAACAGTTTCTTATCCACTGTGTTCTCCAAGCCAGTGGGCAAGTTAATGTTAAGAATATGTGGATGTGCTGCAGTTAGAGAGGGTGTAATTGAGGAAAGAGAACAAGGGGAAATGGATGACGTTTAAGGTTGTTCTGTCTCCATTTTGAAAAGGAAAGAAAGCTGACAAACCGAAGATAGGTAAAAGCAGAAGACAGAAATGATAAAATTGGCAGTCAGAGAGGACTCGAAAGTAGCTGTCACAGTGGGTGATGTAAAAAGAAGCTGTAGGCAAAAGTTTTTTTTCCCCTGCAGCAAAAAAAAAAGACTATGCAAACAAAATGAGAACTACATGGTGGAATAGAGATGTCATTTGACAATGATTTAATAAAGAGGTATCAGTTTTCCAAACAGAGCAATATACAGAAACATCTCTAAGTGTTTTTCAAGCTTGATAAGGTATGTGGACTTCCAACTTCCAGAATTCCCCATTCTACGGGGGAATTCTGGGAGTCAAAAGTCTCTGCTTCTTAACCTTCTCAAGGTTAAAGAACAATGGTCAGAAATAGGGTTTTCAACTAAAAAGTTACAAGTTTTCAGATTCCGGATCAATGTTGAGATCTGCAAGATGGAAGAAAATATTGACCTGCCTTGTTTTGAGTGCAGAAAGACCGGCTTTATTTTCTGGGCCTTTTTGAAAGTAGCCCTTAAAAACAGAAATCTTTTAAGCCAGCGTTCCAATTAGATTTTGCCCTCTTCACTTAAAGATTGCCTGGCAAACAATTTATCTGTTAATCTGCCAATTAAAGATTGTGGCACAAAAGTGTGCTCAGCTCATAGGTTACCAAGGAGGCAATTATTTTAAAAAGAGCAGTAAAACACTCGTGTAAAGCTACAATTGTTTGTGTAAATACGGAGGATTCATAGCATATATTCTGAATTCAAGGTTTCTTGTCCTTGTGGTGCCAAATAAATATGTGAACAGAGGAAGGCCATTTATAATTACACCTTAATTATACAAAAAAATGATAGGGTTAGTAAGGGATGAGGATAAATAGTCAAAAAAGAAAACATCCAGCTTCAGTAAATAAAGAACTTTATTTTTAAACTGAACTCCATTTTAATGTTTCTTATTCGCAGCTGCCACCTAGGAAAGAAGGGGGAGAAAAGCTATTGTAAATGTATTTACATATTCAAATGATTTATGAACAAACATGTGCGCGTCTTTCCAGTATTCAGAGAAGAGTTTCCCCCATTAAGAACACCGCCTTAATTCAAATATCAGGCACCTATAGCATGAAATGCTTTAATCCCAATCTGGTTTTTATGTCTCCTTGCTTTTGATTTAACAGTTTGACAAAAAGGTCACAAACACTGCATTCAGGCAATTTACTGCTGAGAAAATAGAAAAATGTGCTGTCACAGGCCGAGAACACTTTAAGGCATGGTCATCCCCAACCAGCATCCAATACAATTTATCAAGGCACGGAAAAAGAGACTAACTATGCCTACTGGTTACACATTTGACTGAAAGCAAGAATTTGAATCGTGCTCTTTGTTGAACAAGCCATGGTGAACCAAACTATATTCTGGCTTTGTGTTGAAGGGTCCTTGGTGCTCTCTGAGGTCAGCTGTTTTCCTGCAGATATTTCATTACCCAAACTAGGTAACATCATCAGTGCTAGTAAGGAGTGCAGTTGGCTGTCGGTTTATATTCTGGGGACTTGTCCTGTCAGTATTGGTGGGGTTGGTCTTAGAGGTTCTTTGGGTGAGGCTGTTTACTATTGATTTGTTTGGCAATTCCTCAGTTGGAACATTATTTACTTGATGTTGATCTGATGTCAATCTTTGGAGTCACTGGTGAAATCTTTTGTTACTGGAGAGAAAGGCAAGCTTTCTTAAGGACACACAGCATCCTTTCTTTCCTGCAAAAGCTCATTTGTCATGTCGACTAAAGGAACCCACCATAGATCTTCTTTATACGGGCTGCTACAGTTATTCTCAGGAGTGATCAAGAAAGCGTCAAGGTATTTGACTTGATTCAAATTTTTAGCTCAACAGTTAGCAGTGAGAAAAACCTGTTAAGCGTGAGAGATGTACGATCTTTCTGGTGTTTGTTGGACGTGCTCCAGGCAATCGTAATGGGAATAATGTGTTAAGAAATAACTCAACAACAGTACATTGTACAGAACACAGAGCTAGTTAACATGCAATCACCTCAGCACTTTAGCTAACGGCGATGGGGCTGTTAAGAGTTTTATGGGTGGGGTAGACGATCAAGTACAAGTTTTAAGAGCCAAACGGTGATGCAATATGCAGCTCTTTCTAATGAGATTCATAGAATGGGGTCTTTAGGGGGTTCATTTAGGCCCCAGCAAAGAGGCTGCTCGGAAACACTCCTACAAGTTGCTGATTCCAACTCTCATTTATTATCAATTTTGCTTTTGCTTGCAAAGCTTTAAAAGCAAGGCTGTCCGATTCTTTAGGAAGTGAAGATCTTTCCTTGGGAGGGAGGGAGGCAAACTGCTGCCTTTCAAGTGTTATTGATTTTTTACTTCCTGTGAGTTCCAGTCATCCTATCTGATCTGATTTTTTTTTTAAAAAACAACCCTCTATAGAATGTATATACAAAAAAAAAAAAAAAACCCTGATGAATACTAAAGTAGCTTAAGTCCCTGCTTTAAATCAAGGTGAATGAGAAAATACAACAAGGTTAATTTAGAGAATTCTTCCTTTTATCCTCATCTCCTGCCTCATCTAAATCAAAAGTACGGGGATCTTTCACCCTAGATCCCTGCTAAGCATTGCAATAAGGGAAGGGGAAAAAAAAAACAGGTCAAGGGTTAAAAGCCACTTTTTGTCATGATGCAAAACCTGCAACTTTATGTACCTATACTAGAAGCACGTATGTAATGATCACATTTACATTAGATCATCACAATTAATGACAGGATAAGAACAGAGTTGGAAGGGACTTTGGAGGTCTTCGACCCCAGCTCCTATAGTATTTCAGACAAATGGATAAAATATATCTATTCTTTTCGGAGAATGGACTGATGTCGCATTCTCATTCATGACAATCATGCATTGTTCAATCTCTTCTTAAAAACCTCCGGTGTTGGAGCACCCACAACTTCTGAAGGCAAGCTGTTCCACTGATTAATTGCTCTAACTATCAGGAAATTTCTCTTTTAAGTTCCAGGCTGCTTCTCTCCTTGATTAGTTTCCACTCATTTGTCCTGCCTTCAAATGCTATGAAGAATAGCTTGACTCCCTCTTCTCTGTGGCAGCCTCATAGATATTGGAACACTGCTATGTCTCATACACACACACACACACACACACACACACACACACACACACACCAGTCCTTCTTTTCACCAAACTAGACTCATGTCCTGTTATTCAGTGAACTGAAGGCCTGATATGTCTTGCAACATCTGAATGAGTTGCTTTAAAACGACAGATTTATGTATGGACGATTACAATGAAACATGATCATCCTCCATTAACATTGCAGTGTAACAATTTACATAGATGGGGACATGTATAAGGAGCCTTCATACAATTCTGGTTGTGTTGTTTTGCGCTTTCCCCCTTTGCTGTTTTTTTCCTTTGGGTCCATTTCTTTGTTGCTTTTTAAAAACAGTCTATCCACACTTGTGCCTAAATGCAGGATTTCCTAAGTTAAAATTTACCACATCAAAGGCACCTGATTTAACCTGGTACTTCCAATATAAGTGAAAACTCATTTTAAAAGATTAACAGGAGGCATGCTTATTAATGAACGCCTCTTAAATTGGAGATTATTCAACCATGACAATTCACGTTATTTACATAATGAAGTCATTTGTAGAATACGATCAATGCGTAATTGTCATTAATGAGAATGCGACATCAGTCCATTCTCTGAAAAGAATAGATATATTTTATCCAGTCTGCCCATGAATGATTAGGCTATTTTGTTATTTTTAAGGAGGGAGAAGGGAAAGATGGCTAGTTTAAGTTGCCAGATGGCCATTTTAAATGCCACAAGAAAGCCATCACTTCTAAGGGGCAAGATTAAACCTGACACTGATGCAGTAACCCCAAGCCTCTTGGTCCAATTTCTCCTTATGCAATTGGAGACTTTACCTGTCCAGCAATCCTGTCCAGATCTCTCTGTCCCTGAGGAGTAAGCTTGCGACCTCTGAAACGAAACCAGTGACAAAGATCAGCCTCTTTTAAAATTAAGCTACTAACACACACTGATCATTCCTGTTTTTGGTTATAAGCAATATATCAGTGCAAAGATCACAATTCAAAAGAGGTCATTCAAAACATGCGGTCCTGCACCCAACACCCGCTAAGAAAATATTAAAGCTGATGTATTATCACGACTATTTTTGCAAAACATGCTATTTATCTTCGCATTGCCATTTCTGTGCAATCCTAAATTAAAATCATTCTTCAAGTAGTTTTTTCACTACATATGAATTTTGGAAATTTCCCAAGGCTTTAACACTACTCAGGGGAAAACAGAAGCCATATAGATGTTGCTTAATTGTAACCTTCACCAATTATAGCCAGTGGAGAACACAGGAAGCTATAGTTCAACAATACAGAAGTACCACAGAATCCCACAACAATCTTGCCCCTGTTCATTAAGATGGAGCATATTTGAATGAAAGATCATTGTCCAAATACCCACGCAGGCAATGCACCCAATAGTATCAGCATTCAAAGACATTCTACCACACAGGAAAATATGTTCATGTCATAGGGAAGGATTATTTCTGGACTTGGCCATAATACTCCCAATACTGTTTGCCTCATGTCGGCCATGAAGACAAAAGACTTCTATAGCTGTCCAGCAATATAGATTCAAAGTCACGTTGCCTCTGAACACAGAGATTCCAGTATGGCCTTTATAATCAGATTCCCACATACTGCATCCGATGTGTTGTCCACAATTGTGTGTCTGTGAGCCTGTCACAATACACGTATATTTCCTTAGGCTTCCACGTTCTCTGCATCTGGTAGGAACTCACCCATCCTGGTCCTTCTCCACCATTTTGAGCCCTTCCAAAGCCTGGAGCACCCTCCTGGCAACACTTTTGGAACCTCGGCTGAAGTGACTGGGCATCACACCATTGCGCTGGCGCCCCCCATAGATCTTGGTCATGGAGCCGACTCCAGCACCACCCCGAAGATAAAGGTGGCGGGCTGTGGATGCTGCAAACAAAAGAAACCATCTCTTTATGACCCTTCTAACTGGTCATTTCAACCACAGCCTTCTGGCACGAGAAAGACAGAGCAAGTTTCCAAAATTTTACAGGACTCAGAAGTATCTTACCTCTTCCTTAAAGAATCAAATTTGACTGCTCACAGGTAGTTTTCTTGGTAACAATTCCCAAGGGGCTTGCCAACGCCCTTTTTTTTTTTTTAGGGTTGCCACACACCCCAAAACTAACCACCCCGGACAAATCTATTAACGTGAATCACGCCGTGCCAAAATGACATCTTTAAAACAGCCAGGCCCATCTCCTCATACTGAAGGATGAAGACGAGAACTTTCAATTTACACCAAGATGTTGCATGCCCAAGTAAATTATCCTCCTTCAATGAAAGGCCCCAATGAAAGTAATTAAAATTAACGAGCACAGCACCCTCCACTGCTTTCAGCCCAATGCCGCCTCTAACTAAAGAAGTGTCAGCACGGCATCACTTGGAGACAAACAAGCAAACTGCATTAAAACCCTCAAGGTTCACCTGGAACTGGGTTCTGCAGAAACAGAATAGCTGCCATTTCATCGGCAGGCAGCTTTTCTACGCACCGCCGGCCTTCTCCTTTGAGGCTACTCCACAGGCCCAGACAAAACGAGAAACCCTGAGGCTATGTTCCTGCAAATCAGAAGCCTACTTCCCTCCCTTACATTTCACCAGAGCAGTGACAAGAGCAAGTTTACCAGGCTGATCAGCCATCCTGACAGCAACCATGGAAGGGAGAAGCAGGGTTCAGACTTCAGGGCATCTACAAAACTCTCGCCACAGCAGTTTGCCATTTGAAAAGGCAAGAATATTGGTTAGCTGCCATTTACTATGAATACAAACAGATGCGAGAAGGGCATTTTGAGTTCCCTGTGAAATAATAGATCAAGGTCTCCACGAAGAGCATCTCCGGGGCTCTCCCACCAACTGAAGTCACGAAAAAAGCCATCTTGCGTAGGGCGAGATGGAGGCAGCCAAAGACAAGAAGAGGCTATTGGTAGACAGCCAAGGGGTTGGTTGCATCCGCTGTTTTATAGGCAAGCAAATCAAATGCAAAGGATTTGAGGCCTGTTGGAGGAATGATTTCCATACTAGCCAGGAGCGGATGGTGATTGTCCAAAGCATCTAGCAGCAATTTGTAATAGATTAGAGGCCTGACAGAAAAACAAGCCACAAAAGATATTTTAGAATTAACCGAGGCTTTTAATGAGCCGTCATATTAAAGAGCTGGGCAGTGAAGCATCTGTGCTTCTGATTGGTCCCCAAGATATAAATGCTTTATAATTATGGGCAGAGAAGTCAATTATCTTCTTGATTGATAACATTAGCAAAGTCTCCAATTGCTAGCAAACCATAGAGGGTTTACGGAAAAGCTGCGGCCACTATCTCATGTATATGTTGGTGCTGGTGGTGATTTCGTGGGAAAATGAGAAAGGATTCTGTTCTTGTCATTGTACATCCCTCCCAGGACACGCACAGACCGGGGCCTAAACAGGGCAGTTATGAAGGTGACATAGAGGAATGTCTGTTATCCCAAAAGACACATCCTTCTCCAACAGTAAAGAGTTCTTTCGGACCCTGTAGTGTCATCAGAAAGCAGAGGCAAAAAAGACACTTCCAAGGATATCAGAGGCTGGATTAGAACAGTAGGAATTGTAGCATTCTGTCCAGCAGAGTTTCTTCAAAACCCATTATCTATAGACTTACTCTAGCAACAGTATGTAATTCAATGCTGTTGCTTAACACAAGGAAGGCTAACACTAAAGCCGGTTTGGTATAATGACTAATGCACTAGCTGAAAACCAGATCTTAAGTTCTCATCCAGTCTTAGGCACAAAGGCTGCTGGGTGACCTTGGGCCACTCACACTGTCTCTTAGCCCTAGGGAGAAGGCAATGGCAAAAACTACTTCTGAAAATTTTGCCAAGAAAACTGCAGGGATTCGTCAAAAGGCAACTACCAGGAGTCAAGACTGGAACACACAAAAACGAGCATCATCCCTCAAACAGCCCCAGAAACTCTCCCCAGCATTAGTGCGAATAGCACCGATTCGTTTTAATAGGACAGTTGATATATTAAATTGCAATAAGCCATGATTTTGACCACGATCATGGTTTACTTTGATTTTATTTATAGCCACCCACATAAGACACTGGGCAGTTCACATAGACAAAACAAGAAAGGCAGTATTATTTATCAAATTTTGAAAACACTCATCTCCCTCGTAGAATTTTGAACAAGACTCTCTACCCCAGGTCCATACAAAATACTAAGCAATTATACTATTTTAAAATCTGCAATAGCTAATGTGCATACCATCCATAGTCAAAACCAAACAAATTACAGTATGGCTTGTTTGCATGTTAACCAGCTATTGAAATTAAGCCATGAATGTTTACTACATTTGCCTATTTTCATCTCTCAGTCTACTGTTCTTCTCCTCCCACTGTAAGCTTCTTAGGAGGATGCACTTATTTTCATCCATAGGTACTAATGCAGGGTGGGCAACTTTATGACCTGTGGACTTCAACTCCCAGAATTCTTGAGCCAGCATTGCCCAACAAGAAGCACATTGCAATATCTACCTATAGGTAATTTCAATAAAACAATATTCATCCCGGCCCTTCTTACCTAAAGAACATACTTTAGAAAAATTACAATTAGGACAGCACTGAAATTATTCCATTCCTTACCAGCTCTGGTATAAAACCAGTTCTCATCGTATGGAGCCAATTCTTTGTGCTTGGCTAGTTTGACTGTGTCCACCCATTCAGGTACCTTTAGTTTACCTGACCTGCAAAACAATTGAAGTATCAGTTATGACTACTGCAAATTGCTTCTTAGCCACAAATGGGATGCAAATACAACGCTGTAACTCTTTCAAGCAGCCGACTCTTTTTGGGGAAATGACTGCAGCAGACTGCTTTAAAGGGTTGCAATAAGTGTCTTAAAATTTAGGCAACTAAATTAATCCAAATATATTCATGAAATAATTCAAAGGGAAAAGGCTGAAGCACAGATGCATTGAAGCTACAAAGTACTAATTGGAAGAAAACAGTCATGTTCTAAGATGGGATTTTTGAGAATTTGAATTACTTAATTTGTATGGCACCTGCCACCCTCACCAATCAAGAGTTATAAACAACACTTTGTGGTCTGAAATACCAATGGCAGCACACACTAGGTACCCCATTTTTTAAAAAAAATAGAAGACACTTTTGTTTAAATACCAGTTTAACTATAAATCTTACTGCATCGCTGTTTATTAAACACTCAAATAACTGATTCACACACAAATATGGATTTGTACCCATGTTATTATCCAGAAAGTACTTAGGGCAGTTATCAGGAGTGCAAAACAGTTCGTGCATGAACTATTCTACATATAAAACATAAATTATTCCACACACAAAACTGCTAGTTTTTTAGTGGTTCATCTCTAAAATGACGCATGTGTTTGGTCCAGAAACCTAAATTAAACAGGGCTCAATTTCAACTTCTAGACTGAAACATGAACTGTTCTGGGAAGAAGCACTGATGGGAGAGAAAGGGCAAGAAAATGCCAGGAGTGTCAGCAATGGCAATTAAGCAGCAAGGGATATAGGCTCTGGGGAGATTGGGGCAGGGAGGCAGACATATGCTATAAAATATACTTTGCTGAGAACTGACAGTGGCCACTGAACAGAGGGAAGGATATGTCATGTTGGCAGTTATGAAAAATTTTCATATTGGACACATTCCTTACACAATCCCTAATGAAGTTTTTGTTTAGAATACCAAATTTATAAAAAACTAATTTATTTGGAAATAAAGGTAGAAATATGGAACATAATCCTTCCACTAAACCCACAGCATCTTAATGGGACACAAATTTGCATTTGCACACCAACTCCATTCTTGCATGATTAGTTGGAAGTACTTTTTATCACTAATAAAGCTGATTCCAGTGAGAAGATTATATAGTTTTCTTCAAACCATTTATCTTATTATTAGACAACCGAAATAATATGGTGCTTTTAAATCCCTATTCATTTCCTGCCTGGATTTACAGGAATCATAGTTTTTAACACCCACCTTTATTTTGAAATATTACTACTGCAAAGAAAATTTCTGTCTTTATGTGTTTTCTGTCAAAAAACCATTAAAATATGCTAATCAAGAATGCTTTATAGAAAGCAAAGAGTACTACCTTTTGGGAAAATACAACTCACTACATCAAAAGTCCAATTTATATGTGCTAATTAATTTTTCACACAACTTACTTTTTGAGGAAGGCTGCAAGGGCCCGTACAAACTCCTGCTGGTTGACGTCTTTTACAGTTACTCCAGGCATCTGCAGAGGGGGGAAAATATGTAATCTCACCAATTTTAAAAAATTAATCATAGTTTCATACTTCTGGGAGTTGAACCACCACTGCTGAGGAGAGGCCAGGAGATTACCCCTCTTCACATTATTTATCCATTTGTTTATTCCGTTTATAAAAAATTATCATTATAATTCCTAAGGACTCCCGGCCGCAGGTATAAAGCACTCCCAATAAACAATATACAAGTAATAACTACTGGAGCAGTCAAGCAAAAATAGACAGCTCCACCGCCAGCAGATTCCATGGCAGGAGAAAACCCATATTGTCCCATCTAAGGTTCAGAAAAGGAATATACATTTGTTTTTTTTCCAGAAATCCCACTTTGAGGTGACTGCCTTCAGAAAAAAAGGGACAAGTATTTTGGACAGGTGACCAAGGATTGCAGTACTCAATGTTCATAATCCTGAATCCCACAATTGCCATTATTGGAGTTAATAAATAGAACAATTATTTATCTGACTTCTATTATACCGTGAGCTTACAGGCAAGGATCATGGTATGTTTTAGTATCTGCAATAATGGTGGATGTTATTAGCATTAGTAACTTGTATCAGTATTTAGTATTTACAGAATTACTATAGAACAGGATTTTTTTTCTTTATAGCAGATCATACTGTCACCACTATCAAAAAATCGTATGTATTCCTGTTCCTTCCCAAAGGAAAGCAAAGTACTGCATCATGAAATATGGTGGTGATTGTTACAGATTCTCCAGGTCCCTCAATTTCTGGTTTCAATTTCTGTAAGTATCTCTTCTACAACTTTTTAATCAGAAATATACATTTAATCAGAAATATAAAACTTATTATTTTTATTGACTGTTTCCTAGTATGATTTGATTGCTTATTGCACCCTGTGACTATTATCAAGTGTTGTACCTGATGATTCTTGACTCCTGATAAATGTATCTTTTCTTTTATGTACACTGACAGCATTTGCACCAAGACAAATTCCTTGGCCAATAAAGAATTGCATTCTATTAACAGATCCCTTAGGGGTGTTTTATAAGATACTTAAATTAAATTAAATATTGGATTTTAATATTTTTTTTGTCTTCACAGCTTCTGCCTACAAGCTCCCTTTTCACCGAGAGGGTCTTGTTTTGTTAGCTTTTTAAGGATCCGCAAAGGATCCAGGCATGTAATACTACTATAAATAGATATAAATGCCATTTTTCTTCTAAGCAAATGCTTCAATGAAATAACCAACACGCTCTTTATATACACTGAATCTGCTGCTCTTTCTTTATATAGTAAAAATTAAATAAAATAACCATTAGGAACAGTGGTGATATTTAATATGTTAAACGTGGTTTTTTTAATGAGTATCAATAATATTAAAATTTCTAGTATATAAAAATATGAATATGCACATCTTTTCCTTGCAGTTACGCTGAAACGTAATAAAATATAACTCATGTACAATTAATCCAGTCAAAGAATGGTTTTTATTCTTGTCTCCCTGCATATATTTTGTCCCTTTCCGAGCGTCCACCCGCTCGTTCCACGAGAGTCGCTTCCCTCCCACGCCGCCACATGGCCCGGCCTTGCCCGGCAAGCCAAATCCAAGGGAGGCTAGGCCACAGCACCGGGAAAAATTAGGGAAGGCGGCCCCGCCGGGCTCAGTCGGGATCCGGGCCTGCTTCCCCACGAGCCGCCACCCCGCTCACCGTGTTGCCGCCTCAGCGCTACCGGGCAGGAAAAAGAACGCACGGGGCTCCCCACCCGCTCCTCGCAGGGCTCCAAGCGTCGCGAGATTTGCCTCGACCAATGGACATCTGCGAGACTTGGGCTTCGCCCAATCGTTACCCGGAGGGAGGGAAGTGGCAGGCATCGCGCGACTTCCCGCCAAACGACGAGAACAGTTCGCGAAGCCGGAAGATGCTGAGGCAATTTGCCCATCGAAGGGCGGAAGTCGTTTCACTTTTTTTTCTTCTTCTTTTTTGTTTTCCTAACCGTGATAATGGTATATATAAGTCAGTAGGTGGTGATTCTGACCATTCTCAGTCATCCGGGTCATGATTGTCCCAAAGGTGCTTTTTCAGGAGGCAATTGGACTTTCCTTCAAAAGAAGAAATGTCTTCAAATCTGGTATAAGTATAGGGTTTCCTGCCTAAGCAGGGGGTTGGACTGGAAGATCTCCAAGGCCCCTTCCAACTGTTACACTATTCGAGGTGTCTTCCAACTTGACAGCTTTAAGGCTTGTGGACTTCAACTCCCAGAATTCCTCCTCTGGTCATGTTAACTCGGGAATTCTGGGAGTTGAAGTCCACCAGTCTTAAACTTGCCAAGTTTTAAGACCCTTGTACTATTCTGTACTGTTCTCAATTCTGTTTGCTAACTGCATTGGCATTCTCTTTATCTTCCTTTTTTTAAGCAATGGTATCTATGGTTGCTGAAGTTCTGTAATGTTAAAGGTCTCCCCAAGTTCCTGAAGTATGATTGCTTAATTTTTTTTAATAAATGTTTTTAGAATATTTCTCTTTGCAGCTGCCAAAGTACAATACCAATATTTGAGGAATGAGGATGTCAGTTCAAAACTTGGCCAGACTTGGCAAGTGAGACCCTTGCCTTAAAACTACAGATTGGGAAGGGCAGAGGATTATGCTGCAGCCAGCTGCCTACAATTTGGTAGTTCAAATCCCACCAGGCTCAAGGTTGACTCAACCTTCCACCCTTCCGAGGTCAGCCAAATGAGGACCCAGATTGTTGGGGGCAAGAGGCTGACTCTGTAAACAGCTTAGAGTGGGCTGCAAAGCACTATAAAACGGTATATATATATCCTAAACCATGGAGTGTCATGCCTTCTTCTAGGGGTTCTATGAATTACAGGTAGTCCTTGACTTAAACAACCATTCTCTTAGCAACTGAAGTTTTATGACAGTGAAAAAAGTGACTTATCACCATTGCAGCATCATGCATCATATGATTAAAATTTGCACACATAGCAAGCATGCATGTATTTGTCAAGGTTGCGGCCTCTCGAGGGCACGTGACTGCCATTTGCCATCTTCCCAGGGGTTTTTCCCCATTGACTTTGCTTGTCAGAAGGTCTCCAAAGTGGATCACGTGACTCTGGGACATAGCAATGGTCATAAGTATGAACCCATTGCCAAGCGTCTGAATTTTGATCACATGGGGGTGCTGCAAAAGTCATAACTCTGAAAAATGGTCATGCGACAGTTTTCAGTGCCTTTGTAACTATGAACAGTCACCAAACGAACTGTTGTAAGTTGAGGACTACCTGTACCCATTTATCCTGTTATTAATTGGTGACTGAATAGTGTAAGAAATGAGGAAATTCAAAAATAAAATGGTATATAAGTTACTTAAAGGTTTCACAAATGGGGGTTGCACAGTCCCTTCCAATTCTGTTAATCTGTTATCAAATGAAATATATCTCCCTGTATATACATGCTTTGTTTTTCCATTGTTATGCCTTTTTATATTTTTATCTTATGTATTATGGTGCCTTTTATATTTTGATATTATGTTTTTTGGGGGGCGGGGGGAGTTGTTATAATCTCTTTGGAAAAACGGTAGTATATGATGAGCTTTTAAAATTGTATCTTCAGAAGTTAGAAAGAGGCCCTGATGAGGGACGCTACATTCCTCCAAATTAAGGAAAGAGGCAGCCAAAATAAGAGGTACTGAGGGGTACGGATGAGAACATAAGGGGAGGAGATAATTCTCCCTAGAGACATCCTGGGATTAGGTGCAACACCTGAGGGCATATCCAATGAGTTTAAAGTTGGGAGGGAATGAGTCCCAAGAAGAAAGACGAGATGAAACTGTATATAAAGTATGTTTGGGAATTCAGAGGTGTGGCTTTTGATTTGAACCTGCTTGTCGAGGTTCTTGAAAGGTCACCAGCATTTTGCAAACCTTCTATTTTTTTTTAATAAATTCTCTTTGTTTTCAACGATCCAAATTTCTTTTGTTGGTTTTGAGTTGTTTCCAACAATAGCGCAGTGAATCTTCACTTCAGTGGGGTAGAGAGCAGAGGTGGTGTTCAGCAGGTTCTGACCAGTTCTGGAGAAGCAGTAGCGGAAATTTTGAGTAGTTTGGAGAACCGGCAAATCCCACCTCTAACTGGAGATTTTACAGTATCCTTCCTCTGCCACACCCATCAAGCCACCCCTACAGAACCGATAGTAAAAAAATTTGGAGAGCAGTATTTTTTACTACCAGTTCTGTGGGCGTGACTTGGTGGGCGTGGCTTGGTGGGCATGGCAGGGGAAGGATACTGCAAAATCCGCATTTCCTCCCCGCTCCTGGGGGAAGGATACTGCAAAATCCCCATTCCCTTCCCCTCCCCACTAACCTGCTTTCCAGCTCCGTTCTCCTGTGCAGGGCAACCAAAGAAGACCCAGTTGATCAGCTGGGACTTGGGAGGCGGAGAATAGAGGGGGGCGGGGCCAGTCAGAGGCGGTATTTGCCAGTTCTCCAAACAACTCAACTTTTCTGCTACCGGTTCTCCAGAACTGGTCAGAACCTGCTTGAATACCAACTCTGGTGGAGAAAGGATGTGAGCCACATTTGGACTGTTTCACGAAGCCGAAGATCTTGGAGTAAGCTGCCCAGTCATATGTAAACACCCCGTTCCAAGATTGGAAAGTTAGAAATTGGAGTGGTTGAATTATCTAAAAGGCCCCATGAATTACCTGCTGCCAGAAGTATCCGACGCTATTGAGGCTGAAATGGAAGTGCTGAGGATGGATGGCTTTTCCTAGCAACTGCCTGGAACCAGCTTCATTAAAGACAGCTGCAACAGATGGGAATCAATAGGCAAATCTTGCCAGCTAAAGTTCCATTATTGATTTACGCCTGCTAGTTAGCCCTGGGGGGGCCACGCAGTCTCTGTTGGTGGAAAGTTAATACGGAGAGCTACATCACAAGCTGAGAACCCAGGAGGTAAATTATCTGTAGAATGAAAGTTGTTGGGTATCCCGAGCATTATAAGAACGAGAGATCAATAACTCAAACCCATGTTTTCTGACACTAATTTCCCTTTCCCCTTCCCTCCCTCCTTCCTTCCTTCCTTCCTTCCTTCCTTCCCTCCCTCCCTCCCTCCCTCCCTTCTTCCTTCCTTCCTTCCCTCCCCTAGATAACAATAAAATTTATTGCACTGAATTTTAAACCAAATCAATTTCATCTCTTTATTTAAGGGTTTAAAAATAGGGGCCAAGCTACCACCTTTGTTTAAATAATGGGCTTATCGACATTCACTGATGTCCATTATGTGGCTTAATGTCGCAATATTCAATAGCTTTGTGCAGTTCAACTCCCTCGTTTTCAATAATTGCTTTGTGGGTGGAAGCGATTTTCCCTTGGCTGTTTAAGTGGGCCTCGGTCTATTGCATTCAGCTGACGACACCCAGAAGCCGACAAAGCACATAGAGAGAAAGGGGGAAAGGAGGGGTAGCCAAATTATCCATTCTGCATCATCAGAAAAGTGGGGCTATTTTGTCCTCATTAGCTTATTCAGAGCTAGCATCAAGGGACCTCAGGGCTATTCAGAATAACTGAATAACTGAAGGGACCTTAGAGGTCTTCTAGTCCAACCCCCTGCTCGAGCAGGAAACCCTGTATCATTTCAAACAAATGGCTGTCCAATCTCTTCTTCCAAACCTCCAGTGATGGAACACCCAAGATTTCTGGAGGCCAACTGTCATGCCCCTGTTGGAGACTGACTCCGAGGGAGAGGAGGAACAGCCAGCAGGGAGTGGAAGTGTGGCTCCGGAGGTTGTGGAGGAGGCTGGGGAAGGGTAGAGGCCGGCTGGGCGGTCAGAGGAGGACTCAGGCCCATATCCCTTCTCCATCCTAAGGGCATGCAGGGAGGAAAGAATAAGGGAGAGACGTGAATGGCGTGGTCTACGGGGGAGGAAAGGGCCTTGATCCTCTTCATGGGCTGCAGCTGTGACAACTGGTTAAAGGGACGGACATGCGTACTGGCAAGTGCTGGAAACAAAGCCTGGAAATATCTCTAGTCTGTCGTTCCTCTCTGAGTTTGGCATCCTTCCCAGGGTGTGTTCCGATATCTGTGGACGTCTTCAAGCCCTTATCTTGCCTGATTCCCTTAATTGCTTCAGTGTGGTTTGGTTGTTTTGACTCTTTATAATTTGTGGGCATCTTTAGTTTAAATGGCGTTTCCTCCTTTTTGTAACTGCTTGTGGGGGAGTATTTTGTCTCCAGTCAAGGATGTTTGGAGCTTTGAAGCAAATTGAATGAATAAAAGGGGCTTCACCTGTTTTTGTGACTGTGTTTATTTTGTATCCCACCCTGGATCACCACACCAGCTGTTCCACTGGCTAAATGTTCTCATACATTCTCTTCCTTTTTTTGCCGTTGCTCTGTGTACAAGTTGTCCTCGAATTACGACCGTCATTGAGCCCGCAGTTACGGTCCTAAGTTGTGACAATCGTTAAACGAGTGATTCATCATGTGCTTGTGCCCAATTTTACCCTTTTTGTCACTGTCATTAAGTCAACCCGCTGACCCGAATGCCTCGATCATTAAGCGAGGGCCACAGTCATTAAGCAAAGCCATTGGTCACTATGGGGAGCTTTTTCCCAGAAGTAAAATTTCCAGTTTCCAGAAAAAACATTATCAGTTGCAGTCAAATGACCATGGGACACCGCAAAGGGGCATACATTGGCAGGCTACACCCCAAGTACAGTCATGTGACCATGTTGAAGGGGGAACCAGCTATTCAAACTTCAAAAATGAATTATAAGTAACTTTTGGGGGGGGCGGTGTTGTAACTTCAATCAGTCATTAAGCAATTGGTCAATCAGCATAAG